CTTGTGAAGTATCACCATAGACGTGCAACATATTCAAATACAGTTTCTCCAGTGTCAGGTTCGATTTCTCTGAACTTCTGGCAAAAACTTTCCTCGGTAAGTTCATAAAGTTTGAGCAAGGCCACTTTTAACTTGTCATAGTCTATGACATCTTTTGACATCATACTCACATACACTTGTAGGCCTTTTCTTGGGAGAAGGGGGCCGAGATAGACTGCCCAGTTGCCTTTGTCCCAGTTCTGACTTTGGGTGAATTTTTCATACCTCCCCAGGAAAGCATCCATGTTGTCTTTCTGTTCATCAAGTGTGGGCAGCTTTAGTCTACTGGCCTTGATCTCACTGTTATTCTTGGGTCCTCCATCTTTCTGTTGGGGGGAGCTTGTCGATCTCAGTTTGTGCACTTATTCTCTCTATTTGCAGTCTTTCCTTTATCTGTTTTTGTTCTCTTATTTTCTCTCTGTTTTGCCTTTCTTCTCTGATGATGGTCTTTTCTTTGTATAAGTCTTCTTGTTGTTTAACAAACTCTTGTACATCACCATCTTTGAGTCTATGTCGCTTTCCCTTCTCTATCCACTAATGAAAGTCAGTTGACACGGTTATATAGTGTGGTTGTGACCTCTACAATATTTTCGCCACCATTACAGGTATATGTAGTCTTATTTGCCAGTAGTTTACGTATACTTCTACCGCCATTTACCTCTGTAGATCCTGGCTGGCTCACCACTGTCAGGTTTTATATATGTATGGATATATTCTTTAGGTGTCTGCGACTTGTTGGCGATAAATTTCAACAATAAACAACCAGCAACAAAGTCCACTTGTTTTAATAGTATATAATAAAATAAGTCAAACATATATACAAATGTTCGTTTTAATGTTGGTTATCACAGTTTTATGCAGAGCTTTAAATAATTATCTCTTTACTTTTTGTTTAACTTTATACTTTAACGTTTTCTATCTACCCATTAAACAATAAAACAAAAAATTGGATAACATTATCAAAAGATAAATGTTAAAAACTCACACTTCATAAAACAACGATTACTCTTACAAAATTCTAAAAACGAGACTGTTTTCAGTCTCAAAATTACAAAAAACAAAACAAATATCTTACTATATTCTCTTTATAGCTAAACTCACAATCACACAGTCTAGATCTATCCGTATATGAACTTCATTTTGGAGCATATTTATAGCTTGACAGAAGCCTAAAACGTTCCACACATTATGAGATATTACGAGGCAATAATACGACAATCGCCAATGCACAACGTATTGTTGCGTCAGCGAGATCACGTGACTATTCTCACGCCCTCTGCTTTCTAGAACTATCC